TGAGCATCGTTAAAGAGATCTTGCAGTGCTCAGCCGATAGCACTAGAGGCGCATGGCATGATCTCTGCTCGCTAGAGTAGAGCACGCATGCGTCGGTCGTCTGCTTCGCGGCGGGGCGGCTTCACCTTAGAAGGTGGATGAAGAAGACCACGATACTGGCGCCTGCGTCCTTGGCGCGGACACACCAATTGGGGAGCGAGTCGAGGATGCGGTGGAACTCGCCCTTGTTCGTGTCGCACGTGATCCACGGCATGCAGTAGTTGGGGATGGGAAGCGTGGGGTCCGATAGCGCGACCGACCTGCATTGCTGAAGTCGGTGTTGCGGATGACGTCATAACCGTGGTCATGCAATGCCCGCGATGTGTCCCGTCCCCGTTCTAGAGCCCAGGCGGGAGGTCCTAGGCCCGCGTCGGCTCCGAAGGACAGTCGGCAACATAGCTGCCCTTCTGACATGCCGGGGGTGGGGGTGGTCACGTCGTTCGGAGTGGCGTCGTGGCTGAGGCGGGTCATGCCAATGTGTCCGCAACCACCTGATCCTGGAGTAGGCAGGCTGGGCACGATCACGATCTCGGCGTCGTCGTTGCACCGTTCCAGGATGAACTGGGCGATGCGATGGCCCTGCTCGACCACGTGGGTTCACGGGGCGAAATTGGACACGATGGCCTTGATCTCCCCGTGGACGTCAGGGCCCACCGCGCCGCCGGTGATGTCAATGCCCTTAAGCGCGAGACCTGAGCGTGGAGCAATGCGCATTCACGTGCCCGGTGGCGTCGGCGCTGCGATGGCGGCGGGGTCCGCTCGCCAGGCCAAGTTCTGCGCTAATCGCGGGCCCCAGAGGTTGGCCCAGGCGCCGGCGTCGACGATGACGCCCGCCCGGCCGCCTGCAGTGCTGCGCCCTGCTGTCGCGGCCCCCTCTGCGGCGCATCTCCAGCTGCCGCGTCGCGGGCTGGCAATTGCCGGGCCCGCGCGCGCGCGATCTGCACCGGCGAAACGGAAGTCGGCAACGATGGCGTCGGCTGGCCAGCGGCACCCCGGGCAATGCGCCGAGCTGGCGTCGGTGTTCCGCGCGGGCTGCAGGCGGCGTGCGCGGCGCGACATGCGTCGGCGATGCAGTCGCGCAGCCCTCTCGGCGCGGGCGAAGGCTTCGAGAGAGATCGGGCACCCCCTATCGCCACTTGGAAAACAGCAACTGTAGAAGGTGCAGCGGGCGCTGCAGCTTGCGCAGGAGGCGGGCTCGTAGGCGTCTCTACCGAACTCCGCGCGGCTTGGCGTTGCTGGTCTGCCCGCTGTCGCAGTGGCTCCAGAGCTAACTGCGCGCTGTGGAGCTCTTCGAGGCGTCGTCGTCGAGTGTGGTCGAGCAGAGAGTGCGCGCCGCGCTCGGACCGGTTGCCGCCGGACATCCATGTCTCGCGGTTGGCAAACCAACTGGCGACTCTCCGACCCACTGGCCTGTCTGCGTTGAACAGGGCCTATCCACAGGGGTCGGCAGCGCAGGTGCCGGCGCCGACTGTGGCGGCCAAATGGAGCTTGATCCGCGTGGCGCCCCGGTACTGGGCGAGGCCGCTGGGGGCAGGCCCAACGCGGCAGTCGCGCGTCGGCAGCTGGCGGCGCGGGGCCTGCGGCCCGACAGCGGAGGCCGCTCGGCCAGTCGCGCCCCCGGTCTTGTCCTGGGGGGGAAGCGCCGACGAATGCTGGAGGCGTCGGCGCTGCAGGTGCGGCTGGCGCTGGATCTTCCGCTGCTGCCGAGCGGGATTGCGACGCGGTTGCGCTGCCCGCTGGCTGAACAGAGGCGTGCGCGCGGCGCGCGAGGTTGTCCAACTGCTGTCGCAGTCGTCGCAGTTCAGCTTCGCGGGGGTTGGGCAATGCTGATGAAGATGATGCGCCCGTCCATCGTGACCAATGACTGTGGCCAACCTGTTGCCGCGAACCGTCGGGCGTGGAACTTGGCGGGGCGGCTGCCGCCGCCGGCCGCGGCGCTGCCGATGCTGGCGCAGGCCCTCCGCCGCTCCAGGGATCAGCGCCCCGCGCGGGGGCGCTCGCGCCCGCGCCTGCAGTCGCGGTCTGCCCGCGGCCAGCGGAGCCCCTGACCGCCCGCTCCGAACGCGCGCTCGTCGAGGCCCGCTGCTCAGCAAGGCTGAGTGGCCCCTGCTGCCCCGTGAGCGACGGCAGCTCGGACGCCGGCGGAGCCAGGGCGCACGCGCTGAGAGAGAGGGCGCGCCCGTGGCTGCGGCGCCGGGGGCAGTCGCGCGCGAGGCGTTCCTCGGAGTCGCACTCACGGCACTCGAGTCCCATCCCGTCTGGAACCATAGGTTGCCTTGGAGCCCCAAACCTACGCCGCTGGCCCAGAACCCTCCTCGCCCCTTGCCCTTGCCCTCCCCGAAGCCCGCGGATGTCTCCCAGAGGTCGTTCTCGGACAAGTCGGCCAAGAAGGCTCTGTGGCCCTCGCCCTGGCCCGGGCCCCCCCCCTCGATGGCCCTCCGGGCGCGGCGCGCGGGCTTGCGGCTGTTGCAGCGCCGCCGCCGCGCATCGGCGCGCTCGTAAGCCCAGAACTGATGCGCGCCACGCTGCTCCACGGGAACATCGCGTAGCTCGGAGTCGTCGGCGGCTTGCTCTCCTTCGCCGAATGAGCTGCTGGCGTCGGTTTCGATGCATGGGCCCATTGCAGCTGCTGGGATGCGCAGGTGGGCTCGGCGCCGCCCCCAGCGCTGATGGGCCCAGGCCGCCTAAGCTCGATCCGGCTGCAGTGGCCACTGTAGTGCCATAGGCACTCTGAGCCTCCTTTTGCGCAGGCGCACCCGCGACGAAGGCTCGCCGCTGGGATGAGTGAGCCGCCGCGGCGAGATCGCCGGGCGACCCCTCGATCATATGCCCAAAATGTCGCAATTGACCCGTCGCGTGTGCCAAATGTGGTGCCTTGGTCGGGTAGGCCACGCTGAAGCGCTGCACGTTTCCGGTCAGTTTCACGCTTGACACTGCTGCCGCGCGCGAGAAGAGGAAGCTGAGACCCCCGTAGCCCATCATGAGTTGACCTGCTTGCTGGGCGCGGTTGCGGAAGGCGTTGACACGCGCGTGGAGGTCGTCTATGCGTTCCTGCGGCAGTCGGTTCAAGCTCATAAGTGGTGAGACTGCCGAGGTTCGCTCCTCCTCGCCCAGTTTGCCCCAACGTTCGGCCGAACTGCGCTTCAGGAAGGTCATCGGTGGCACTGGGTTGCCATTGGTGGCACCTCCCTGGGCGAGGACAGCTAGCGGCCACTCGTCCGCGCACTCTCGGGCCATGCCGGGGAGTCGCGATGAGACGCAGGCCGCCTGGCGGAATTCGTTGAGGTCGGAGTTCGCCACTGATCATATTAACACCTTCCGCGCCTAAAGTTGGAATGGGAACCCGTGGTTGCCGCTCGGGTCCCCAAGTGCGGAAGTGACGCATGCTGCCGTCGCCGCCTCCTGCGTCCACGCAGGTGGGGCAGCTTGCGAGGGCGAGCGCGCCCAGTCCGATGGTCTACCATCCAAATTGGATTTCCTTCCATAGATCAAGGAGGCGCCGGAGGTCGGAGGCCCAGCGGCGGCCTTGCTTTGACCGCGAGCCTCGGAACCGTCGTGGTTCCCTGCCCCAAGCCTATATATATACTCACATATATATATATATATATATATATCTACATATATATATACATACATACACCCACACGTTCCTCTTCGTCAACGCATTCGGCACCTCTTGCCTTCTATCGCGTCGTTTCGGCTATCTTCACACACGGGACACTTCGCAACGTAGTTGCGCTCGTGCCCCTCAGTTGTGTTGCCGTCCTTGTGCTGAGGACCGCCAAATTCACGACCGCTCAAAAGAATACTCAAACACATATACAGGTAATCCCAAGCCCGCTGCACCGTTCCTTGGAAGCACGACGACACAGCTGTCCATTCAACCGCGTCCTCACACAGATTCTCGCTCTTATCCGCCTGCGGCCCCCAAGGCGCTCGGGACCATGGGCCATGGGCCAACATTGTTGATGGGGACCAGTCCTGATTTTGAGCGCGAGGTCCGATGGGCCCCGCGAGCGATTCCAACACAGTTGGAAAACGCCCCAGGAGAGGAGGCAGGTTGCTGTGGCGGCGGGCGGGCGCCGCGCTCTTTATAGTGCATGAAATCGTTATTGCTCAAATTGGTGTCCTTGCAAAAGGTCTCAGCGCACATGAAAAACATGAGCGCGAAGGGCATGATCCAGAGGATCCTTGCCGAACATGATGTCCAGTATGTGGAAGGATGCGAACAACAAAATACTGGCGGTGGTGCCACGCGGGCCATGGCAGCGGGAAGAATGTGGGTGGTCGAACATCTGGAAGGGAGCCCGGAGCTCCGCTGCCAACGGCGCAAGTGGAGGTTAAGGTATAGGACCCTGTTGTGCTGAGCGGACGTGAGCACGGTTTTGATGCGCGGCGACCACGGGCACGGAGGGTGGCCTCCCAACCGTGCCCATGGACCGAAAAGGCGGCGGCAGAGGGCGAACATTAAGGCAGGCAAGATAGGTAGGCTACCGTTCGAGTCGGGAGGGGAGGAGGAGGAGCAGGACGAGGAGGAGGAGGAGGAGGAGGAGGAGGAGGAGGAGGAGGGGGGGAGGAGGACGGAGGAGGAGAGGGAGGAAGGGGGGGGAGGGATGAGGAGGCTGTTCCTCTTCTCCTCCTGCATGCGCTGGACTCTTGCGCGCTGGCTTGGACACCACAGAGTGTGGCTGGCCAGGCGAGCCCTGGCCACGACGGCGTCAGCCACTCTTGGGTATGGGGCTCGTGCTCCAGGCATGCAGAGGGCACGAAGCGCGCGCAGACAGAACACGAGTCCTCCTCCTCCTCCTCCTCCTCCTCTCCTCCTCCTCCTCCTCCCTCCTCCCCCTTCTCCTATTCCCCCCCTCCTCCCTTCTTCACCTCTCAACTCCCTCCTTCCTCCCTCTCGCCCTCCTCTTCCTCCTCCCTCTCCTCCTCCTTCCGAGGGAGCACCAGAGGCATACTTTTCTCGCTGGTCCACTGCTCGGAGTCAGTCCTGGCGCGAAGAAGGTTGCACAGCAGGCTTTGCCTTCGCACCTGAGGCCTCATGCAGATTAAATCTGCCACACGTTCACACCCAACGGCCTCTCAGTTGGGAAAGGAAGCTTCTGGACGTCTTCCCGAAGGGCTGGGGGTAACGGTTCGCTCTCCCGTCCCGGTGCTGCTGCAGCGATGCCCCTCCCCCTTCGGCCAGCCTGGTAGGACTGCATAAATTCCTGATCTGGGGGCGGGGGAAACTTCTCTGCCTTGCTCCAATGATCCGTCGGTTGCTGTTGCGGAAAATGCATTCGTGCCGAAAGCTGGTAATGCGGGATGACGATTCATAAAACATTGGGGCGAACGATTAAAAAAATAGTTTCCTGTCATTCCTGCACAATTCTCTCACTGGCGGAGAACGATTCAAGAACATAGTTTTCCAGCCCGCGGCCGGTTTTTTCGAATCGTCATCCCGGGCGCCGCCGCGTGAACACGACCCCCGGTCATTTATTAATCGTCATCCTCCATTATCGGGGAGACGTAAGACCCGGGTACGGGGGACTCGGAAATCCCCGACGAGGTCGTCAAAAAAATGACGAGGCCGAGCCTGCATTTTGACGAGGCCTCCCGCTGCAGACATCCCACGAAACTCCTCCTCGTCAAAATCCGAGGCGCGGTCGTCAAAAAACGATGGCGAACCCGAGTCCTGGCAAACCCGGGTCTTACGCTCCCCCGACAGTGAGAAAATTGTGCAGAAATGACAGGAAACTATTTTTTTAATCGTTCGCCCAATTTTTTTATTAATCGTCATCCTCCATTAGGTTGGGGTGGCAGCTTACCGTCGGTCGATGGCCATGGATGATTGGGTGAGCTGGGAGATGCGAACGCCTGCCACCGTGCCCCGCCAGGCATGTGGAGGCGCGGCAGCAGACCAGGTGCTGCCCGGCAGGCGTTCCGTAGTCTTCTGCGGAACCCTCCCTCGTCCTCCTCCTCCTCCTCCTCCTCCTCCTCCCCCTCCTCTTCCTTTTCCTCCTCCTCCTCCTCCTCCTCCTCCTCCTCCTCCTCACGCTTCGCTTCGCTGCGTGCATGCCCCCTCCCCCCCTCCCGACGCTTCCTGGTCTGCTAGACGGCTCCCTGGCGCTCTCCAAGGCGTCGAACATAACCCGATCTGGCTTCCAAGACGTCCGAGGTAAACCACCAGGGCCACCAAGATGGCCCAAGCTGCTCCCAATATTGGCGCAGATGGCCCCGAGGTAGCCCAATATGGCTTCAAGACGGCTCAAGGCGCCCGCAAGACGGCCCAATGGGGCTCCAAGATAATCTTCAGGAGTGTTAGAAGAGGCAACAAATCATTGAGGTTCTGTATTGTTGATGGCTTTCCACATTCTCATCGTTCGGACTTCCGTCAGCTCAAGACGGCCAATAAAGCCTCCAAGATGACCTCAATACGGCCCACGAAGGCCTCAGGAGGACCCCAAGACGGCTCAAGAGGATTCCAGGATTGCGAAAGAGCGGTCCAAGAGGACCCCAACTCTGCTCAATGAGGCCCTCAGACTCCCCTCAGGGTCCCCAAGAGGGCCCCAATACGATCCAGAGGGCCTTCCAAGACGGACTCCGAAAGCGCCCAGATGGCCCAAGAGTGCCCTCAGACGGCCTCAGGAGCCCCCCAGAACCTCCGAGGCGCCCCCGAGGCGTTGCCAAGAGTCCCCAAAAGACCCCGAAAAGGCCCACAACAGGCCCCCAAGAAGCACCCGGCGCGAGGTGTCACACGTGACAGTCTTCTGTGCCACCGCGAAGAATCGCCGCCCGGCATGCGGGTCTAGCACTGGGGCGGGACTTGCCCCAAGCAACTGGATTATTACCGCCGTTGGCCATGGATCCCGTGGCCGGGGGGGTGCTTCATCATGGTATCCCAGTCCGCGAATGTTTGTTTCCGGCTGCTTGACACTCGACTGCGATTTTGGTAGAAGGAGCGCTTGCACCAATACCTTACGAGCAAAGCAGCCCGACAGTGCTGTGGTTGACTTACCTCACTTCTCAGAAGGCAGGGGGACTCTCGAGCTTCCGAAAAGGCCTTCTCCTTCTCACTTCCCCCCCTCATTCGCCGTCGATCTGGGGCCCCAGACATGTGATGTACTGATTTGTCTCAGCCATCCTGTGGTGTTGTGTCCTCGCCTTGAAGAGACAGCGCCCCGCGACTCATTCCCACCCGCTGTCCCCACTCCCGCCCTCCTATCCTTGCATCGGCCCTCCGCATGTCCATCTCGGTACACCACTCACACGTTTCGTGGCCCCAGAGGGAACTCCACCGAAGGCCTCAGTGGCATCTCTCGCATGCGCCCTCCGCACTAATCTCGACACGCCATTCACACGTCTCATGGCCCCGTAGGGAACCCCGACGGAGGCTCCAGTGGCGTCTCTCGCATGCATCCCCCGCGCCAGATTCGGTACACACTTCACAAGTTTCATGGCCCGATATGGAGCTCCACCGAGGCCCTGGTGGCGTCTCTCGCATACGCCCCCCGCACCTATTCTGGCACACCCTCCACACGGTTCGTGGCCCATAGAGAACTCAACAGAAGACAATACTCACAATTGCGGCACTCACAATTGCATATGAACGGGTCCTTCGCCCGGATAATTCCAATACGCCCCCCCCCAGAACTTCCGACCCTTTCCCAGGACTGGTTTCTCGTCGCGAGCCCTTGTCTGAAGGTCCCGGGGGCCCAGCAGGGGCCCCCAGAAGCCCAGAATGGCAGACCCCCCTCGCCCTGATTTTTCCCACACGGGCCCCAGGCCGCACACGGGCAGCCCCAAGACTCAGCTGGTAGGGGGCCACATGCGAACCCTACCCCTACCCCCCACGATTTCTGAGGGGGAGGGCCCTACCGGTAGGGTTCGCATGTGGCCTCCTAGCCGGGGCTGGCCTCAGCAGGGCCCTCGTGCAGTCCACGGGGCGGCCTCCGCGCCGACGCCGGCGTGGCGCGGGGTGGTGCCGAGATCGGCCGGGGGCTACCCCCTGGGCGTGGATGCCTCCCAGATGGGTCGGAGCAGATGGGGTCGGAGGAGGAGGAGGAGGAGGAGGAGGAGGAGGAGGAGGAGGAGGAGGGGTCGGAGGAGGATTGCGCCGCATCCTCGATGCGATGCGTCGGCGACGTCGGCGATACACCAGCGACGGCGGGACGGAGAACATCAGGCTCCATATCGGGTCGCATCGCCGATGCATCGCCTATACGGCGCGATCCTCCGACCCTTTTGCTCGGACCCCATCTAGGAGGTCTAGAGGGTTGATGAGTAGGAGGAGGAGGAGGAGGTGGAGGAGGAGGAGGAGGAGGAGAAGGAGGAGGAGGACCAGTGCAAACCCAAGAGTAATCAACGAGGTTGGAATAAACCCTCCCTCCAAGCTCCCTCTTCTCAGGCCCCTACTACGCTTAATTTCCAATGAGAAGAACTGCCTCGTTGGAAGGCAACCGTTTGAAGACCCTGAAGCATGCCGAAACATGGTTCTGGGGATTCCAACGACAAGGATCAACCGGACTGCTGCATCTTGACGATCCCGAATCGCTCCAGAACGCCGTTCCTGGGACTTCAACACCGCGAACCAGCTTAAGTGTTGCAAGCTCAGAGTCCTGAGTCCTTTCAAAACGCACGTTCTGGTACGCTGGTCATGGGAATCCGTGAAACTTCTGCAACATGTCAGAAAGAAGGTGCGCGGCGCTAAAGCGAGAGCCACATTTTGAAAAGGAACCACCCTCAACCCGTGAAGCTCTTGCAAATGTTAAAAACGAATGTGCCAGGCGCTAAGGCGAGAGCTACATTTTGAAAAGGAACCGCCCTCAATCAGCTAAAATCTTGGAATTTGTTTTACCGAATGCGCGCGGCGCTAAGGAGATAACCACATGTTGAAAACCATTGGCCCTCAATCCGTGCAACTCTTACACAGGTTTAAAACGAATGTGCGCGGCGCTAAGGCGAGAGCCACATGTTTAAAACCAGCCGCCCTCCATCTGTGACGCTGTTGCCAATGTTCTAGCTTCAGGGTAATAAGAGGTGAGGAAGTCTCAGGCGAAACGCCTGGCCCGCCCTAACAACTGGCCTCGGGGTGCGACAGGGGAAAATTATCTATAAGGGAAATCAATGGAAGCGGAGGAGGAGGAGGAGGAGGAGGAGGAGCGGGATGAGGAGGAGGAGGAGGAGGAGGAGGAGGAGGAGGAGGAGGAGGGGGAGGAAGAGCAGGAGGAGAAGGAGCAGCATGTCGAGATGCATAGGCCTCCGGCTGTAGATGCCACCCGAACCTGAGGCCTGGCGTCGCGACAAAAAACTGCAGCATCATGAGAGATCACAGCTGGGGCCCTATATTCCAATCTTTTTGCCACATTGGTCGAGCTGGATCGATCTATGATGCCCCTGGGGCCCGAAACCGAGCGAACACGCCTGGTGTGAGGCAACGTAGCAGCGCCAGGAGCTCAGGGCCCCCTGGCTTCCAAGAAGCCTCCCTGGAAGTTCCCGGGGCCTTTTTGCAAGAGAGCCCTTCTGCCCTCCAGGCCCTGACCTTCCAGGAGGGCTAGAAAATAGCACGAGGACCTCTGAATCTTTCCAGCGCAGTCCAGGCCTCAATCGGTCCTAGTCGGTCTGTGAAGTCTTGAGGGCGATTTGTTTGCACTCTGGAAGGTCAGGCGACGACGACTACGACGACGACGACGACGACGACGACGACGGCGGCGGCGACGACGACGACGACGACGACGACGACGACGACGACGACGACGGTGGGCCGCCCGCGCCGCTCGCCGCCCCTTCGGCGCGCGCCACCGCCAGCCCCGCTGGAAGCCGCCGAGACAAGACCGAGGCAGGCGGGGCCCGAGGGTCGCGCCGCCTCGCCGAGGCACCATCGCTGAAGTTGGCGTGGAGAGGAGCAAGACGACGCCAGGACGAGGATGGGGAGGGGGAGGGGGAGGAGGAGGAGGCGGAGGAGGAGGAAAAGGCGGAGGAGGAGGAAAAGGCGGAGGAGGAAGAGGAAGAGGAGGCGGAGGAGAAGGGGGAGGAGGAGGGAGGAGGAGGAGGAGGAGGAGGAGGAGGAGGAGGAGGAGGAGGCGGAGGAGGAGGAGGAGGAGGAGCAAGACGAAGCCAGGACGAGGACAATACCAAGCGAGGAGACACCGAGAATCTCTGAGATCTGGTGGTTCTGGAGGATGCCTCGGACGCCGTGGCCTTCTCGGAGCGTCCCGGAGCGCTCTGAGAGCGTTCGGGGACACTCTGGAACGGAGTTGTCCTCGTCTGTGCCCTTCACGGTTTCCCCCCGGCCGTAGGCGACACGAGGAGGAGGAGGAGGAGGAGGAGGAGGAGGAGGAGGAGGAGGAGGAGGGGAGGAGGAGGAGCAGGAGGAGGAGGAGGAGGAGGAGGAGGAGGAGGAGGAGGAGGGGGAGGGGGACGAGGGGGACGAGGAGGAGGAGAAGGAGGAGGAGGAGGAGGAGGAGGAGGAAGAGGAGGAGGAGGAGGAGGAGGAGGAGGAGGAGGAGGGGGAGGAGGAGGAGGAGGAGGAGGAGAGGAGGAGGAGGAGGAGGAGGAGGAGGAGGAGAAAGACGAGAAGGAGGATGATGATGAGGGAGGAGGAGGAGAGGAGAAAATAGAGGAGGAGGAGGAGAAGGAGGAGGGCGAGGAGGAGGAGGAGGCGGAGGAGGAGGAAGAGAGGAAGAGAGGAAGAGAGGAAGAGGAGGAGGATGAGGAGGAGGAGGAGGAGGAGGAGGAGGGGGACGAGGAGGAGGAGGAGGAGGAGGAGGAGGAGGAGGAGGAGGAGGAGGAGGAGAGGAGAGGGAGGAGGGGGAGGAGGAGGAGGAGAAGGACCGCCTTGCCCGCAGTGCGCGAGGAGGAGGAAGAGGAGAGGGGAGAGGAGGAGGAGGAGGAGGAGGAGGAGGAGGAGGAGGAGGACCGCCTTGCCCGCAGTGCGCGAGGAGAAGGAAGAGGAGGAGGAGAAGGAGGAGGAGGAGGAGGAGGGAGAGGAGGACGAGGACGAGGAGGAGGAGAAGGAGGAGGAGGAGGAGGAGGAGGAGGAGGAGAAACTCTCTGCGGTGCGGTCGCCTGGTCGCTTGGGGTTCCGAGGCGCCCGCTCCGCCGCCGCCCTCTGCCGACAGCGGGCCCGAGACCGTGCCACGGACGCGCCTTCCCGTGGGAGAGGCCGCGCCGCGGGCCCGAGACCGCGCCGCGGGAGAGGCTGCAGCGGGGCGGCTTCGGAGGCTTTTCGAGCGGCCAAGGATGGACCCAGGAGGCAAGGATGCACGGGTACCCTTGGGAGAGATGCCTATCCTTACTCTGCGGGTCGACTGTAGAGGCCTCCCAGATGGGGTCCGAATAGATGGGGTCGGAGGATCGCGCCGCATCGCCGAGACGTCGGTGATGCATCGCCGATGCATCGGCGATGCGCCGGCGACATCGGCGATGCAGCGGCGACGCCAGCGTGGATAAGATCGGACTCCGCATCGAGCCGCATCGCCGATGCATCGGCGACGCGGCGCGATCCTCTGACCCCATCTGCTCCGACCCTATCTGGGAGGGCTAGAACAACGGCGTGCTAAGATCGGGGAGACGTAAGTCGGCGGCGAACGAGGGGGGGAAGTGAGAAGGAGAGGGCCTCCTCAGAAGGCGGCGGGACTTCTCAGAATCCCTCGAGCCTTCCGAGAAGTTGTTTTGTCTTCGGGGAAGGCTTAACCAACGTCTTTCAGAAGACTGGGGTACTTCCGAGCCTCCCAAAAAGGCCTTCTCCTGCTCACTTCCCCCCCTCGCTTGCCGCCGAACAGGATTCGGATCTGGGGGAAACTCGGGTTGGCCTGACAGGGCCATCCTGAAAATGAAGAGACCCAGTCTGAAGCTTGACGCGAGGCCCCGTTGCAGACACCCCTGGAAACCTGGGCCGTCCAAGTCCCAGGCGCGCTCGTCGAAGAGCGCCGGCAGAACCGAGCCCCGGTCACTCGAGCCTCACGCCTGGCGCCTCCCCGACGAGCAGAGAGGTCGGCCTAGGATCTGGTGCGCAGCAGGCTCGCAGCCCCGCTGCGCAGTGGCCGCGCTAGGCGTGCATTTTGAGGGGGCGGAGGGGGAGCGAGGGGCGGAGGAGGAGGAGGAGGAGGAGGAGGAGGAGGAGGAGGAGTGAACGAAGCCTGGAGGGCGAACAGCTTGCTTCGGTTAGCGAGCTCCCCACTGTACTGGGAGCTCACTCTCTCGGCTCGCGGGCGGGGCGGGAAGCTCCGAGCACGGGACACGAGCGTTTACGTCGTTTCTGCCTGCAGCAGCTTGCGAGGGCACAGGGCGCGGCAGGCTGGCCGCGCGCACGCAGCTGGCGGAGCTGCCCGCGGCAGCAGACAGAGGCACAGGGTGCGGCAGGCGGGCCGCACGCGGGCGGCTCGGGGGCGTCAGGCAGTCGCGGCGGCCAGCTCCTCCAGTAGCGTCGTGAGGAAGCTGAAGAGCATGCCGAGCAGCACGAGTGGCCGCGTAGCCATCTGTCGGCGTGACGCACCTCACGCTGGCGGTGTCCTTCAGGATATGGTAGAGCCTCGTCGCGACTCCCATGCGCGTAGCCGAAGAGGCGACCCCGTTCTCCCCGTCAAAAGGGGTCTCGAGCGTCGGGAGGCCGAGCCGCGTGAGAATGTCGGTGGCCAGCTGTCCTCTTGGCTGGGCTACATGATGAAGAAGTCGAGGACATACAAGGTAGTGCTGCACAGCATCAGGGCACCTGCAACCGAATACACAGTCGCGGCGCTGGGGGAGCACATGCATGCGTGTCGTAGTAGTCCTGGCTCCCGACAGCGCCTTCAGGATGGCCCAGACACGCGCTAAAGGCTGTGTCGCCAAGTATGTGCGAAGGCGGCGCCAGCGATGTTGGAGATCTTCAGGAAGAGCCTCCAGTTGGACTAGGTCAGGAACGTCATGGGCAGCCAGTGGGCCCAGATCAACTTCAGCATCAGGATCGTGATCATCGTCTCCAGGAAGCAGTTCTGGATCACCTTCAGGAGGAAAACGCAGTCGTTGGCTGTGGATCCAGCGGCGCCTGGCACGGTGTTCAGCAGTGGCCTGTCGACGAAGCGCAAGTGCACGTAGTTGAGCGGCAGGGTCCTGGGGGGCATCGAGCAGAGCCACTTCAAGACGATATCGTGGAACTTCAGAAGCATGCCATGCTTCGCGACATATAGCAGTTGCCAAACGTCTGCGCTCCGCTCTGGTGGAGCAGATGGGCAAGAAGACGTCGCGGTTCAACACCCGCATGACATACTCGATGCACCACTCGTCCCATTCCTTCTTGTTATCAATGTTGGGGTCCATCAAGAGAAGATCGGGGAGCCAGCTGCCAGCCCAGTGTGCCGCACGGTCTTGTAGATTCGCTCTCGTAGCTTGAGCAAGCGGAAGTGCAGGGTCTTGATGGCGTACTGGACGCGGCAGAAGAAACCAAGCAGACAGGCGTTTAGCTATGGTGTTGTGGAACGTGTCATTGTGGAGCTTGGAGTACAGGCCGAGGAGGTACGCCTTCTGAAGTGACTGCTGGCGCGTCGGCGGGTCACCATCATCTCCAGCACGGCGTCGCGGGGGCTGCATCACTCCTGCACCTTGACGAGCAGCGTGAAGATGTGCTGCGCGGAGTGCTGCGTGCGCCCGCTGTTCACCACCAAGGTCACGCACGAGTCTCTTGAAGTGCGAGCCAGCGGTGTTGACGTGGAACTCCGAGGTGGTGATGTCGAAGAGGCGCTGCACGATGGGGATCGGGTTGATCCAGCACGGAGCGCTCCACTGGCCAGAGATCTCGGCAACGAGCCCCAGCGTGGCGATCGCATTCTCCTTCAGTTCGTGATACCATTGTGTCCATCCAGTCAGTGTCTTCGTCGCCGTGCGCCACATCGTAGCCACCAGCGTGAGTTCAATCTCTGCAGGTACTTCGATTCGAGTCCAGCCCGTCATGCCGAAGATATCGTTTTTGGAGAAACGGTTGGGGGCCACTCGAAGTATTTTGTGAAGAGCACGCTGTTCTTTGGCAAGAAGAGCCTCAGGAGGTTCGTAAAGTTGACCCACAGATGATAGACATGCAACGGCAGCCACACTATATGTTTTGATACTGAGTTGCAAAGGCGAGAAACCCTCAGCCAGCTTGAGAACACGCTCCCACCACTTGGTCGCTGGAGCCCTCCATTGATCCTGTAGCGATGCTCCAGGTCCCACCTGAAAGACGAGGTACTTGGCAGAAGAGGCGGTAGTGAAGTTCCTCCACGGGGTGTGGATGCTTTCGAGGATGTTCTGAATGCCTACGATCAGGCTGGGCGTCGGCAGGGACCAGGTGGGAACGATGACGCACTTCTTTGGTTGGAGCTGTAATCCAGCGAGACTTTCTGCAGCGAGTAGATGAGGTAGAAGACGTTGAATATCACGAAGACGGCGTGGTATGATACTAAGATCATCAGCACATGCACTGATAAGTCCACGACGAAGTTGGTGGAGTTCTACCGAGATGCCGCGGATGAACGGGTCGAAGACCAACGCCCATATGGCTCCACTGAGTGGGCATCCTTGAGCCACCCCAGACTCGGCAATGAGAAGCGGACGCCGAGCACCACCAATAATGAGGAAGCACAGCGGGTTCGTGTAGCAGCACATCAAGATCTTGGCGAAGTTTCCCTGGATGCCCCACCGCGCCAGTACTGCCCATAGCCATTGTCGGATCAGCGAGGGGAAGGCGGCCGCGATGTCCATGGACGCGAAGATGGGCATCAGAGCGCCAGCATTGGGGTCCGTGCCGGAGAGCCTCGCTTGCATGTCAACCTGCGCGGCATTGTGCAGGAAGTGGCGGCCTCGAACAAATCCCTTCTGCTCCTCTGACGCGTCCTTCGCGAGGTGCGAGAGAGTGATGTTGGCCGCCGAGGCGATGAGTTTCACGTCCGTGTTTCTCATGCTGAGGGGCCGTAGCGTGCTCGG